AGACAAGAAGAACTTAATAAACAAAAAAGTGAAGCCATAGATCGCGACGATATTCAAGCAGCTTTAAAAGTTCTTAACATATACCTAACAGACGATCAAAAGAATAATTTCAAAAGTTTCAAATCTTTAAATCAGTTGTATGAGGACACTCTTTATAGGTTTTGGAATTTTTGTAATAATCATGCCCAGGAAAGAATAGATAGAAGCGAAAGTTTTAATAACTTAGTTTTTACAGAAGATAATCTAGATTTAATGCCAGTGGAATTCGATGATATTACTATTTCCAATGAAGTAGTATTGTTGGATGACGGAGCTGATTGTCCATTTTGGGCAAGTGACGATACGACAATAGCAATAACAGAAAGCACTGAAACTGTGGGAATGACAAATGATTTAAACATTTTGGCAGACAAAAGTATAAGTGAACCGAAAGACAATATCAATGCAGAAATCGATTCAGAACATGTAATTCTGAATAACGCTTTCGACAGAAACCACTCAGATAATCGTTGTGAGAATAATGATATTGATAGCAAAGGAACTGATGAATTAGTGTTAAATCAAACTGATATCAAAATCAAGAACGATAGGTTAATGGAACATAACAAAGGCAGACATTCGCAGGAAGCCTTTAGAGCAGAGGATGTGTGTCAAATCAGAACCAAAGAAATATCTGAGATAAGTCATAATGTGGTATAAGATAATAGCGATAAACGTAAAGACTGAAGAAAATGCTAAAGATAACAATTCCGTTGTGACGCAAAAGACTGAAAAATGACTCAACCCTAAAGTTGATAACAAATTAGATAGTGGCATGAAAGAAAACTCGAAAGAAAACATTGAAGTAAAGAATCCGAAAATTAATATCCTAACTGATATTTGCATAAATCCTTTTGAACGAACAATGAACGATTACAATAAAACATCAACCGACCCACAGAAAATTAAAAAAAACATATGCCATATGCAGTAACAAGCAAAAAATTTAAAGAATATTGTAAGCAAAAAAGAAGAGACAGAAGAAACAGAATGCCCGGGAAGTGGAAAAACGAAAACTACAAAGAACTTTAAACAAACTTAAAAAAGAGAAATTAAAAAAGACTAATAAAACAAATAAAAGGGAAAAAGTATCAAAGGAAGAAAACAATAATATTTTTAGTAGAAGAGAGCAGGCCAAAACTATTAGTAGGCAGTGATTGGATAAAAGAGATAAAAAATATTTTGACGGTAATGAATTACCTCTAGCAAACCCGCAAGATAAATATAACGTTGGTGATTATGTCATTGTATTTTATGAAAAAAAGCAGTATCCAGGCGTAATTAAAAAGTATGTCAACCGAAGTGAGTTCGAGGTGAGTGTTATGGAGAGGCTACTCGACAGACTATGGAAATGGCCGATAATACCTGATCAGATTTGGTACCCTGAAAAAGATAACGTAAAGAAAATAGAACAACCTATACCAGTCAATTCTCGAAAGTTTTTTTTTAAAAGTGCCAGAACTTCAATAAGGACATGTTTTTAGTAAAAGAAGTTTTTAAACATATTTTTTATAACTATTTAGAATAAATTTTATTTTACATTTTTAGTTTAATATTTTGACTTTTCAGGCGAACAATTTTTTATGTTGATTTACTCATTATTTGCACAATAGAATGCCTTAAATAGTTCACAAAAGTATGTTTCTTTATTGGAATTTTAAAATTTCTTTACTAGATTTCCTGTTTCTTTACTGGGCTTTTTGGTCTTTTTTGAATATAAAACTTGTTTGAATATCAATCTGTTTTCATATTTGTTTTACAACTAGTTATATTAAAACTAAGTACATCAGATATTTTTATTTAAATGCTATAAATAATTACAGTAAAAATAATAAATCCCTTAACTGTTTCATCATTGGTGCTTTCGCCCTACTACAAATTTTATCGTAGCTACACGAATATGACAAGTAAACAAACTGCGAGTTAGCTCGTATTTGGCAGTCAACGTGTTAAATAGTAATTAAATATTTAAGAAAAAATGTACCTGCGTTTCGGCAAGTTTTGATAATTCGGGTTGCAGATAATATGAAATTCCTGTCAGTGCTCCTGGTAGCATTAAACCTCTTATTAATAATATTGTTAACACCACGTAGGGCATTGTTGCCGTTACCCATACCACTTTGCCTGAAAAAATTAACAGAAATTATCTATTGCTCACATCGAAAACAAAAGTTTTCTAGAACCACGCTTAAATTTTAATTTGAATTTGCAAAAACGAAGTTTTACATTTTTTAACTCCCCTGTAGTGATAGGATACTATAGGAAGTACTATCGATAGTTTGTTACAATCGATAACTATCGATTATTTTAAGTAATAATCGATAGTTTAAACTCGCATGTTTTTAGTATTTTTCAAATTCATTCTATTGTTTGATTCAAAAAACTAAAATTCAAAACAACTCACTCTGCTAAGTATCACTAAATCATTATCTGTTTTAAAGGTTGCCTAACTAATTTTATCATATACGCACGCCACCGCAAGTAAGTCTTCTGTCTCCTCCTGTTTTCTTGTGTCTCTGATTCCTGTTTGTGCAGCCATCTATTGCTTTATGAATAAATTAAAGAAACATCCCCGTATGATGCCCGTATGCAAACACAGGGGATTCCCGGATCCATTAATTCCGTATCATATACAACATTGGTATAGTTTCAATAGAACTATCGATACTAGCTATAGTAACTCGTAAGACTATCGGAAACTATCGATACTATCCGACCACTACTTCCCTGTACATAAAAAATAATGTTGATTACTTTTAAACGATTGAATTAACCCTTAATCTATTCCTTTACCATCAATAACAAAGTTTTATTAGTTATAGATCTAGTGGCAAAAATTTTAAAGTCATTTGCATCTGTGACAGAAGATAAAAACATAATGATGTTTGGATTATAAAACAACCACTAATGTAAACTTCTGCTAAACCATTATTCCTAAATTATTATTTAAAGTGAAGGAGAATTACCGAACTAGGCTCTTCCAGGCAAATAAAAAGAAATATGGATCCTGGATTTAATTAAATAGAGACTCTTTAAAACATTTTACGCAAAGGCAATAATAAAATTTACATACCATGTTTAATATATCATTTAACCTAAGGTATGTCTCTAAGTTGTGTAAAGGAGTTGAAGTCATTATAATCCCCAACACCAGGAAAACCTCCAAATGAACTTTAGTCATATAGGCAAATCTCTTTGTTGCCTATATTATCGAAACTATTTAAAAAAATATTCATGAGAAGGCTGTAAGCCATAAAAACAAAGAAGTCTGCTCAGCCATCTTCAATGTTGCGCAGGATTTTGATAAATTATGACATGTCGGTTTAATACATAAAGTGAATGTGCTACTTCCACAGCTATATTTAGAGCCATTAGGAAGCTTCCTAGGCCCCACTGTATACCTGCTATATACTTGTGAAGTATTCCAACTAGAACAAGACATAATAGCTACTTTTTCAGATGGTACTGTTATCCTAGAGATAGGCAAAGATCATAAAGAGGTTGCAAACAAGTGGTATTTAGTTCTGGAATTGTAGTAATAACCTTATAATCCAGAGATTTTAGAACAAAATGCTGAGGAACATTAAAGATGCTTCTTGGTACATTAGAAACAGCGACCTCTATCGAGATCAGTTGGACACTGTTGACCAGGCTATCATCAGATGCATCAACGACTACACCAACATGTAAACGTTAAGGCGATCCAGCTTCTTAACAGTACCAACTTGACAAGTAGACTTAAAGAGAAGAATACAAAAACAAAAGACAGAATAACAAGAGTTTCACTAGCAAAGACAAAAATAGATTAAAATGCTAAATGCATGGATATAAAGGACTGGAGAAAAGTATCAAATGCAGCTAGTACCCACAATAACTTCTAACAAGGATGACGAATACGAAGAATAAGCCTTTAAAGAATGGATTTAAAAATACTAGCCTCAAAAGGATTAAATTGTAATTATTTTTATTTTATTATACTACCTGTGGATTTGACTCCTTTGAACAGCGATATGTACAATAAAAAATAAATCGATATTAAACACAGCACCAACTGCCACTTTGGGGCCCCCATAGCATGTAGTCCGTCACTCCATTGCATCTCAAGAACGGCTCGACTAAAATAGAAACAAAATTGTTCAACAAGAAAAATAAAAACACAAAAATTGTTTAATTAAATAAAGTTATACGTTAGCAACTACCATAGGTCACCATCAGGCCTCTAAATAAAACTACACGTAGTAATTAATAAAATAAGTGATAAGTAAATTAAAATAAATTTCATGTATCGCTAAAGGAAAGTCTTAATCATAGGAACGTATTTAATAATATGGTACTCTAGTTCACTTGACCCCCTCCTAGATGTCCCTGCTTGTACCAAACCAGTAATATTGGATGTTTCTTTGATGATAATAGATATGCTTGAAGTTAAAAACTAACACAATAACCTTATGCCGATCCTTTTCTGTCAATAGGGCCACCTTAAAACTCGATTATTATGGTGCCTAGCATATAGGAGGTCAACATTTATGATGCTATATCTAGCATTTCAGAGATCTACGACAAATGTACTGACTTGTAATAGTTAAAATTGGTGAATTTAAGGAATTAAAGTTACAACCAGAAAACTTTGATCTCAGTATGCTTAGTACCACCACTTTCTTCCGTTTTTGACATCTTGAGCTTACTTGTTAACTTCGAATTATGCAATAGATCCCTTAGTTCACCTAACCTTTCCAAGCCAGTTCGTTACTCATATTACTCATACTAAGGATTGATATTTTCATAAGAAACTTTTCAATTGGATTGGTTTCTCTAACTCCGAACCTACCTGACTGGTATCTACTGACTGTTCCAGAAGTTTATATTTTAGGAGACCGTTGCTGCTATTGATCATTACGTCTTAAGAAATACAGATTGTCTGACCTTACAGGAATAGAAACTTTAATATAAAGATGGAAATCTTACTTAAAAAATTCCGACGCGGGCGTATGCCTAGTTTTTGATGTTTCGTTTATTGTAATATTGAGCAATTTTGCACTGGTATTAATATTCATGCTGTCCCAACATCTGTCTGTGTTCCAAGTGTTGTTACAGTGTATCCAGGGCAAGTTTGACGACAGACTTGAGCCGATGAAATAGAGAGCCCATGCTGAAAGTAATTTAAGTTTTATACTAACATGCCCGTTAACAAATAAGATTTTAAATTTTCAGTAAAGTACTTACCGAGGATGACGTTGTAGTAGAAAGACACATAAAATGATACTAAAACTGCACAAAATCCTACACCTGAAAAAAGTACGTCAGCGATTAATATTTTCTTTTTAATAAAATAGACACTCACCTTTGAATAAAGGGCATATTCTCCATAAACTAATAGGTCCTTGTCTATAAAATTGGCCCAATATAAGTTCCATGTAGAACAATGGTACTGCTCCAAAAACTAACAATAATGTATATGGTATTAAAAACGCACCTGAAACAAGAAAGGAATATTAATTCTTTAACAATAATAATAACTAAGAAAAGACGAAGATATTTAATAACAAAGAAATAAAGTGGAAGCAATTACCAACCTAGAAGATGATGTAACAATAAATTTACTAAAATGAGCTGCAGGCTTTAATGAGATTACATATAAAATGCTGAAAAAAATGGGAATGAAATAGATGAAATGGAATAAATATGAATAGAAAATATTATTACTTCTATACAAGAAAGGTTGTTCAAATAATAGGGACAATACGATATAAGGGAATGCTTGGAGAAAGATTAAAAAGTATAATAGAAAGAGTGCTTTCTGGAACGGTGGTGTAGATGTCTAAGGCGCTCGTATTCATTTGAGAGAAATTTTGTGGTAAGAGACATACTGGCTTCGAATCCCATACAATACCATGAGCATTTATTTGCATGGTTCTCTATAAGATTTCTGTTGATATGATATCCAGATTATAAAAATCGCCATGCTTTATCGTTTCGATGATGGTGGGTGGGGTTTTCCGGGTTCTTCTCACCTGTAGGTCAAATAGCACCATCAATAATCTTTAAAACGCCCCGGAGCGCCACGGCAAATAATAATAATAATAGCCATTCCATCCTTAACACAAGTCGCTCGGTCGGGTACAGGGGTTGAAATTTACTCGTAAGGGGGTGAATTCAGGAGAGTAATATTATTTTTAGTAGTATATGTTGCCAAACAAACCACAGGAGGGGTTACAGTTTCATAAACGATCAATTTCTACACCAAGTACATTAATTTGGATGCATTACGTGGTTATCGTCGCCAAAATGCTACTTGGGTAGTCTATCATAATTGTAGGCTTATTTTTCATCGTAGTCTATCTCCTATAGGGATTATATAAGTACCAAATAGAAGCAGTGACGTACCCTCTTCAGCTATATAAATGTTTAGGCCATGGTAAGGCCTATTTATTTATTATTGGAATACATGATTCTGAGCTTTAAGAACAATTTCCAAGATACGCCCCTGTGAATTAACCATGGAAATCCTGCGTCCTTTTTAAATCGCTTTCGTCATCTTTCCTTTCTTTTTGAATGAATAAAAGACCAAAGGAAGGAACGGGGCCAGTAATAAAACTATTAATTAAGAGATTACGGCTTATTGCTCACCTTCTGGCTGCCGTTTCTATAGCTCTGATAAGGCCTGGCTGCCAGACGATCGCCCGAGATCGACAACGAAACCGATCACTTTATAGATAATAAAAAAATCCAGAAGTTTCCACGATTATCGTCTGGATTACTCTTAGGGATAGGCGGTTATGGAATTTGGATATCGGCGATATGCATACGTTTCATTAATATTGGATCTCGCATTTATTTTTTTTTTTTAATAAATTAATTTTTCAGCAATCCAAGATGATAGGTTTAAAAAAATTACAAAAAAACTATGATTTCTTTAACTATGGACCTAATAATATTAAAGAAATATTTATTACTTTTATTATTATTGGTAGCAGGGTTTCCAATCAAAATATTTTTACATACTAAAGATATTTTGGGTCTATTAACCGGTTTATTTTGACAAGACGGTTACTACTTTCCAGAGAGTTTTTGAAGGAATGTCAGATTTGGAAATTGTAATAAAATATGAAACCTTTCTTATGGTTTTAATAAACAGAAAGCGACATTAAAAATAAAATAAATATAACAAATTGACATACAATAATTAAGTAACTAACTCACTAAGTATTTAAGTACATTCACTGATTATCACTACATTCTTTCCATCTTTAAAATATTACATAATCATCTGGAAAGGTCGGGGCTTTTCTTAATCGCATTGATCTTCTCGACTCAGAATTTATCTGATGAGTCTCAGAATTCTGTTGAGCTTCAGCAATATGCTACTCATTTTTTTCTTCGCTCTTTTGATTTATATTATTTTGTAACTAAATAAGAATGTTATGGACTGGAGAGGATATAATTTTCTTCATGTAGTTGTGAAGAACTAGGATTCTCAGAATTTTGAATAGGTTATCGAGATGAAGGGGCGAGATGTCTAAGTGATATAAGAGTTTCTCTACCGTCAGAGAGTTGAACTCGAGCATAGTGTGGGTTTGCTTCAATGAGATCTACCTCTTCAACTAAGGGCTCATATTTATTGGTCCTATTAAATTTACGAAGTAGAACAGGTCCAGGTGGTGTTAGCCATGTAGAGAAAGATACTCCAGTGTAAGAACGTCGTGGGTGGTTGAACATTCTCTCATGAGGAGTGACATTGGTGGCAGTACATAGTAATGAGCGAATCAAATGAAGCGCTTCTGGTAGTACTCTCTCCTATTGGCTCAATCTCAGTCCATTTGACCGGAATGCCTTGAGGATTGTAAGGAGTAGGCAATGCTTTAAGCATCTAAGTATGATTTGAGTTCATGAGAAATAAGAGAAGGTACCATTGTCAGAGTGGATATAGGAGAGAGTACCGAAGATGAAGAATAATTCTCTCAAATGCTTGATTACTTCAGTTGAAGCCGTGCTGATACATGGAAAAACAAAGGAAAACCTAGAGAATTCATCAACTACTGTTAGCATCTACGGTTTACCAATACAAGTTGGAATCGGGCCCTTAAAATCGATATTTAGCCTTTGAAATGCAGCGGTTAATTTTATTAAGGTTCCTCGAGATCTTACAAAGCGAGGTTTTAATTCCAGCTCACCGAAATGTTTTTAGATCTCACCTAATGGTGCAATCTCGTAATTCCAGGATGGCATATGAAATGTGAAGTTTAAACAAATCAATTTTGTTGTTAATAGAAGAGGAAAATCAAGACATCGCGTCCGCAGCCCAGTTTAATGATCCCGGACGGTAAATAATTTAGTACTTAAAGGGTGAGAGTTCAAGGAGCCATCTTAATATTTTGTCATTTTTAACTTTTTCATCACTTTTGTTATCGAACATAAATACACAGACCTCTGATCTGTAATAAGTTAAAAGTGTCTACCTAAAAGGAAATGTCTCCACTTTCGCAGAGATTCCACTATGACGTAGGATCCTTTTTCAATCGCCGAATGTCCCTTCTCACTACCAGAAAGTGTTCTTGAGTAGAAGGCAACATATCTTCCGTTTTGCGTCAAAGTTGCAGCTATGGCATACTCTGATATGTCTGTTTCTACTACAAGCATATATCATCATTATGAATGGTCGTCAGAAATGCGTCAACTGCATCTTGTTTAAGTAGTTAGTAAGTTTGTGAGGCTTCATTAAGAAAAGCCCCTACCTTTCTAGATGATTATGTAAGATTTTAAAGGTGGAAAGAATGAAGTGATAATCAGTGAATGTACTTACATACTTAGTGAGTTAGTTACTTAGTTATTGTATGTTAATTTGTTATATTTATTTCATTGTTAGTATCGCTTTCTGTTTAGTAAAATGTAATAACAAGACATTTGGAATTGCCAAATCTCTTTTGGCTCGCTAAAGAAAGTGACCAACTTTTTTCCTACACTCCACATATTAGAAATAGAAGGGTTTTTTCGAAAAATGAAGAGATTTTATTAAAAGAGTATCTAATAACAGCTTTCAAAATGGCACACGGTTTAGGTTAAAAAAGCACGCATCAATTAGCATTTAAATATGCAGAAAAATTGAAAAAGACACTGCCACTATCATGGACCAAAAAACAATAGGGCTTAAATTGATGGGTACAAGGGTTATGTAAAAAGGCACAAAGACTTATCACTTAGAAAACCTGAAAAAACCAGTCTTGGTAAATGTACTGCCTTTAATAGGCACACAGTAGATTCGTTTTTCACTAATTTAAAGAATGCTTATACAAAATTCAAGTTTAAACCCAAATCCATATACAATGCGGATCAAACCAGTCTGTTAAAATTAAATGTAGTGGCCCAAAAACGTACAAAACAAGAAGGGAAAGCTGTGTCTGCTGAGCGAAGTCAGTAAGTTACTATGCTGACGTTTATTTCTGCAACGGGTAACACCATCCTTCCTGCTTTCGTTTTTTCACGTGTTCACTTTAAATAATTTATAATAGAAGATTGTCCAGTTGGAATCAAAGGCTTAGCTAACAAAACAGGATGGATGTCGGCGGAAAATTTTTTCTTAGCATTTGAGCATTTTATAAACAATGCAAAACCTAGCAAAGAACGCCCTGTTCTTTTATTGCTTGATAATCATCAAAGCCATATAGATTAGATTAGATTGGGAGTTGGACGTTATTTGTCCTTGTCTTCCGCGACCTTTTCAGATCTATTATGGGACTCCGTTTGTTTTTAGAGTATGTCGTCAAGCTTCATCGTTTTTATTTGACATAGTAGCTTTGACAGTGGCTCCCGCATGTAGTTGAATGCATTTGGCTTTTCTTCGCTCAATGTTAGAAACCTGATGCCAGGCAGGCCTTCATAGGACGTGGAATGATATTTTTTTTTCTTCTTCACAGAACCTGCATAAAGTTGCTTCTTCTGCTGTATTGATTACACTCATGTATCTTTTAAGGCGACAGTGTCCGGTATGAAGACCTACTATTATCCTAACGATTTGACGTTTTTGATCCAGTAGGTCGACGGTTCCTTAATGAACTATTTGGCCTGTCTCAGTCTTGGATAGTTGTTCCACCATTCCTGAGATTTTTTTTGCATCCACTGTTTAATGGATGCCTTGCACAATGCCTTAGAAACTCCACAGAAGGGTATCGGGGCCTGTCATGGCCTGGCACCCAGGCTAGAGTCACCTTGTTTTGACTACGTAGCCCTGCCAGGTCTTCTAGACAGTCTTTCACCAGTCGTGATTTGATTTCTGGTGAGAGAATTGCCTTTAGAGCTGCTTGGCTATCAGAGTATATGGCAATAGTTTTGCCTGATACTTGCTGATTTAGTATTTCTTTTGCATAGTGTTGTATGGCTACTAGTTCAGCCTGGAATAGTGTTGCATATTTTCCTAGACTCAACGATATCGTTGTTTTCGACTTGAGTCCATAGATTCCAGCACCGGTTCCTTCCTTGGGTTTTGAACCGTTTTTGTACCAGACGAGTTCAGCCTGTACGGCTGTTTCCAGGATTCTCGGGCTGGTATCCATATTGGTTGAGATGTAGCGGATTTACCTATCTATTAATCTTTCTAGAATTTTAAGTAGATAGGAGGATAGGCTTATAGGGCGATATGACTTTGGCGTTTGGTCTGTGACCCTGCCTACTTTGGTCAGGTAGACTACTTTTACCATTTGCCATATTGCTGGGAAATATCTCCATGCAATCCATCTCTGAAGATTTTACATAAATGTGGCATTAACACATCCTTACCCTTCTGAAGCAGAATTGGATATAAGTCTGGACGTTGTTGTTTATTAAAAAAAATCACGTGATAATTTTGACCCTTCCACCGCATTGTAGCCACAAGCTACAGCCATTAAATATTGTAGTTTTCGGCCCATTCAAAGCCTATTATAAAGTGGCTTTAAACAATTGGATGATTTCCCATTTCGGTTCCACAGTTTCGATTTATTACATTTCAAGATTAGCGACAGAAGCCTACGAGAAGGCGTTTTATCTAAAATTATTACAGAAACTCCAGAATTAGAAAAACTCAAACAAGAGGCTGCAGAAAAACAAACGACAAAAGAACTGAGTCATTGAAGAAAACGCAAAACCAAAAAGCAAAAAGGAAGATTGTAGAAGACATCAGTAGTAGCAGTGAAGAAAATATAGAGGTTGATGATAGTGAAGACTTTGAAGACTTTGAGAGAGAAAAGACATTAGAAAGCGCCAAAGGTTCATGATTTTATTTTAGTTAAGTTTAAAACTAAAGAAAAAATTACGTTTAACCATTTTGTTGGACAAGTATTAAAAGTAATTAAAGACGACGAGTTCGCAGTTAAGCTTCTTAAAAAATCTAATAAGACCCTATAAAAATGGCTGAAACCAAGAGAGTCGAAAGTTTTTTATCCTTTCCTATTAACTTTTTATATTACAAGTGGACTAAAATAGTAATAAGAATTTGTAAACTTGATGTTTTTTTTAATAATAGTATTTTCTGTGTTCTTGTGAATGTCCCTTTCAATAATTTTTGTCCCTTTCAATACATACTTGGTTTTTGGAAATCATATTTATTGACATTACTTATTTCAAAAGCCTTTTGCAACTAAATTCAGCTAACCAAATATATAGGCCTTAGGCTACGGACGGCCACTGTGATGATTCTAAAACGAGTTTTTAGTTAGCTATGTTACCTACCATGTAGGTGAAATGTCCCTTTCATGGAACTTCTCCCTTATTGGTTAAAGCCTGCTTAATCTATATGTAAGTAACTATAAGTAGCAGTATCTTTTTTTTTAATAAAAAACGTTTTTTAGATTGTGACTTGAAATTTGTACATCTCGATAGATCCATTACTGACTTTTACATTTTCTTTTATGTAGTTTTTTTTTGTGAAAATGAATTTCAAATTAGTAAAAGATTATTTTCCAAAACACCTTTAAAGAACTGTTTAAATCAAATTTAATATAAACATCAGAAGAATTTTCATTACTAACATTAACAATAATTTCTTGATCTTGATCACGAATCAATTTACCTTTACCATTTAAAAAATCATTCTAATGGGAATATATTGGTTTTGTTTGTTGATGAAATTGATGTGGACAGATTGCCATCATTCAATTAAATTTACCATTTTTTCGTTCAGGTGTTAATTCTAAGTAATTCATGAGGATGCACAATGCTCCTAGTGAGGTACAAGTGCTATAGAACAAGTTACTTTTCCTTTTCCCTCCTCCTTACAGATACATAATTTTTAAAGATTGGCACCACGTTTTACTGTTAAAGAAAGATTAGAAAGCAATTTTTATGAAATTATATTATACATGATTTTAGAAAATGACACTACTACGAGATTTACCTCCTCCATTTCGATAACACAAATACGGGAATCGCCATACGTTCGCCAAATCAACAGCGAACCCAATAATGGACAATAAAAAATCGGTATTGGATCCCCAAGTTTCTCTGTTGTCGTCCGGGCCGGCTGTTATCGAATCAGGATCGACGTCCGCCGCTTGACTAGAACTCGTTGACAACACGAAAGATTCGTGTTCGTCTTCTTCGACTTGAACGTGAAGATCTTCTGAAAAACCAACGAAAAGATGGTTAATATCGACCAAAAAATCAATAAAAAATAGCGAACTAACTAAAGTTATTATATCATTTATAAAATCAATTAATGATAACGGTTCAATGATTGAACCTTGTTATACACACATATATGTCGTCTAAAGTTCAATATTGTGATAAATCCCAAATTCAGTAATTAAAATCTTAATTTTTAAAAGAATTGAAATGAAAAATAATTGAACAATTTTGTTTAATTAAATTATTTTAATTTTGATTTAAAAATTTTACGTAATTAACACTTAATTAAACAAATTGTAAATGATCAGAAATTCCAACTGACTCTGAGTATGTTTTGTAAATCTCTATTCTACAATATTGTCTAACACACAGTCCAATACCCGATATTACTAATAATATAATTTCAACAACCAAATTTTCTCTGCCCTAATCATTTACCCTTAAGGGTATTAATTTTTGGAAATAAAGATTTTCATTATATACACTTATTCTTTAATGTTCAATATTAATGAAACATCATGTATTAGGGTGTCTAGTCTAGTATATGCTAATTTTAAATATGTAGAACGTACTCAGTATCTGCATAGTACGTTATAAACAACGTCTCGTAACATATACTTAGTATATTCTGAGAATGTACTAAATGCAAATAAAGTATATTCTCAGTAGGTATATGCATATTCTTAAAAAGTATATACTTATAGTATTCTTTTTTATAGTGGAATATACTAATAAAAGAACGCGCTTTTAATTGGTGCAAGAACGAGGCAGTTCTGTTGATTTATACAGGGGTTATACGAAATATAATTTTTCCCCTACTTGAGTTTGGTGCAAAAAGGAGACAGCTCCTCAACTTATTTTTAAATTCTGTACTGTAATTATTTAAAAGTGTGAAATGTTGACCCACTATTGTGTTCTTTACTAAAAATTTTAAATAAATATTTTTAAATTTAAATTGTTTTTACCTTCTCCTGAAAAATTAATAAAAACGAAGCTACCCCCTTTTTGCCCCAGTGTCTTCAATTGTTATCGGAGAAAGAAACGTTTCTGGAATCATTTCTTATAAGAACGTTTTAAAAACATCGTAGTTATGTATATGGGTCATTCCATGTCAAATCGCAAATGGCCGCCGTCAGAATTGGCTCAATACTTTTGCGACGTACAAAAATTCAAATTGTAGATATTTTAATGTAGAATCGAATGCCGTGCGGTGTTTTTGGTGATCATTGATTCTTTGACAGTAATACTGTCAAATCTGACCTCGCTGATATGAAATATTATTGACATTCGAGTGGCGCGAAGAATTTAATCAACGGATTATAATGAAACTTGGTACTCGGGAGTTATCGGGGCCACTGATCACGAATCCGAGGTCAGATTCGCGAGATTCGTAGATGGCGCCACATTTTGGCGCATGTGTAGAAAGAAAGTGATTGAGAATTGGCTGGTTACTCTGAAATAATTCATATTTGAATGATGTCAACAATGTCAAGGATACCTACTAGATTTTTAGCACTAAAAGTACCAAGTGTGATTATCAGTATAGTCACTACATGGTGGTTGATTATCGATTATTATTAATCAAGTAACAGTATAGGACAATATTACATTATGAGTGATATAATCAGGAAAAGTTGTATATTACATGTTAAAATCGTCAGTTTGGAACAGAGAGCCTCATATAAAAATTTTCATTGTTTAAGAGATGTATTATTAATGCATAAGCCCAAAATATTATACATGTATGTTTTAAATCATTACAAGTCAATTTGGTTTTGTTTTCATCAGAGCTCGTTTCAATAAAATGTCAAATAAACGTTTTCCTTTGTAAAAAAAACTGTCACAAGTCAGTCATGGTAAGTGTGCATATTTTTGGAAAGAACGGCATATATCAAAATATTTAAATTTATCAAATAAACTGTTACATTTTGAGATATGACTCTCTAAAAAAATGTTTAAAAATAAATTAAGAATAAAAATAAAAAATAAAAATAAATAAAGAATAAAAATAAATAATAACAAAAACACAAAAATCAATATTAACGATAAATTATTGTATTAGAAGTACTACATACTACCCATTTAATCATTTTATGAAAAGCGAAATAGTTTTTTTTGCTTCTCACATTGACACTAACATTATTTAAAAAAATAATAATAGCCCTCTGATTAGAATGTTTTATTTTTTAAAGTGCCCAATTTCAAAAAGGTGCTTTCTCGATTTTCTTCAATAAATATCCCTACCTTTTAACATTTAAAAATATTCTTATTGACTATTTGTTTTTATTTTCAGCGAATTTCCGTAAAAACAAATTAAAATCGCCGCAAATTCTTCGACAGATAATCGGTAGCACGATATCAATTGTCTGAGATCATGTTCAATTCACTTCTGACAATAAGGACGTTTGATCTCCGAATGTATGTCCTTTGATGGTAATGTAAAACTTTGATTTACATGATACTGTCTTTGGAAGTACCTTCTAGGATTAAATGGACAAGGCTGCAGATATACTACCCAAAGATACATCTGGTATAAAAAAACTGACGTATCAAAGGGTTGATATAGAATTGAATATGACGCAAAGATCAATTAAGTCGTCGGGTTTTAATCGGGAAAAATGGAAATTATGGAGAATCTGTAAGAAATGTTGGAACAACAAATGGGACAGTGTGAAGGAGGAATGAACGGTTTCAAAATGGTGAGTCTATTGATTTAAATTTAGCTTTTTCTGTAAACATACCTAGCTAAATAGTGTATGGTTCATTTTTATTTCTATTGATATTATTTATTTCAGGAGGAGAGAGCGGCTTTAAATGGTAAGTCTTTTGATTTAAATTTAGCTGTGAATTATTATTATTAATCATGACTCAAAAGATAATAAAACATATTTATTACAAATAAACATATAGAACTATAGCAATTAGTAATGATATAGTTATTGTAATGGTCAAAGCTTCATATATCATAGTCGTAAAAAAAGAAAATTCCAATTAAATTTTCGAAAAACGTTCTTATACAGACAGACATTGAGGATTCAACAGCAATATTATTTCCACCATAACTTTATTCTTTAATTAAAATACACAAAGATAATTATCCTATTAGACCAGTTAAATCATTTTTCAGTAAAACTTTCACATAGATTTATTAAGTTTAATTTAGTTAATTAATTGCAGGAACTGCAAATAATATCAAATTTGTTATCTTTTATTATTGTTTCCGGGTAATGGAAAAATTGGTGATAAAGTCATCACACGAAGATAGTTCACTCTGTAAATTAGATTAATATTTTAAAAAACAGTATATTAAAATGAAAAATCGACCTACTTGGGAATTTTTAATTATATTGTTTATTTTACTAATAATAAATATATACCTCACTTTATGAACGCACTGTATATGCATTAACGAAGCAATGTGTTCAGCAAAAAAAAAGCTGAAATAAAACAGCATAAAATAGGAGTGGAGATAGTAATGCTGATACACAAAAATCTTAAGACTTAAAAGTATAAAACTCTAAAACAACTTCAAAAGAATAAAAGAAGCTACATTTACTTTCAGTTCTTATTGCCTCTAGAACGTATCTCACAAAGAATAGGTGGAAAATAATACCTATATTATTTGATTTACTCGAAAAATATACTTTATTTGATTTCGTCTAAAAACTTATTACAAAAATTTCCATTTCATTGAAGTAGCTAGAGTTAAAAACGTTTGACTTACTTCTTTATACCTACAGTTTAAAAGCATGGAATAAAGAAATATCCACAACGTCGTCATTTCTTTTTATTTGGATTTTAAAGTATTTTAAAGTGCAAATCAGAAAATGGGATAGGAAAATATGTAGGAGAATAGTATCGTGGGACTGTATCTGAGACGACCCTATTCTTTGTTGACTCAACTGCTGCTATTACAGCTAAAGTTAGAAGATCGTGAGCTGAAATCTAGAGAAAAGAAAGCAGAGCTGGCAGAGCGGCTTAAAAAGCAATAAAAAGTGAAGGGCTTTCCAAAATTTCTTCTATGGAAAGATCGCATTCTTACAGAATAAATTTTTTTCTGATATCTCTTCTATGGAAACTAAAATGTCTTCTGATATATCTCCTTTAAAAGGCGATATTTCTTCCAACTTGGAAAGTAAAATGTCTTCTATGAAAACCGATATTTCTTCTGATGTTTCTTCTATCAAAAATTATATTTCTTCTTTAGAAAGTTTCTGCTGAAATTTCTTTCTCAGAAGAAAAGATATATTTTTCTATGGAAATTAAATTCTCTGATCATTCTTCTATAAGAAATTAAATTTCTTCCGTTGAGGAGAAAATAAAAGAGATGGAATAGAAGATAGAAGAAATAGAACGAAGAAAGCAGGCTAAGGACTGTGAAATAAGGTGCCATGAGTTGGAATCAACGTTGAAATTGGAAATAGTTGTAAATGCTACCTGTGTTAAAGCCCCAACATTTGACCATAAAGATGTCATGGACCAACTACCTTAAACAGTTCGGAACAGCTGTCAGAGTAAACGAAAAGTCTAAAAAAGAAACTGTAGTAAATCTGACTATCGCCCTTCGAGGAGATTCTTTAGATGTTCTTCAGAATATACCTGTGAAACAGACAGATGACTTAAAAAGAGATTAAACGTACGATATGGCTACGAACACTTAGAGCATTTGTATCAATCATAGCTAAAGAATTGGGAACAAAAACGTGAGAGCCTTTAAAAATATGAAGTGCTATGCTAGTGCGATGTACCTACCGATCAGCTCCAGAAAACATGATGGAATGTTTGGCAGTCCAAACATTTGTTGACAACAAAATGCATAAAAAAACTCCGCTCAGCCCGTCATAAAACATTGGTCCATGTCTTGTCTGCTGCTCTAGAGTAGAAGGCAGCTACACAGGCTTCTGGAGGATACAGTAGAGTAGTATAAAATAAGAACGCGTCGATGATAAAATCGACCAACTGGTTAACATAATTAGGAGCATTCTGATAAAAAGA